TAAAAATCTTTATAATAGAAATTATAGTATAATCATTAAATTGCAATGAAATTATTAAAGTTACAATAACATTTTTTAAGAAATGTTAAAATGTTACTTTCTGCTTATACTTGAATAAAGGTATGATAAACCATCTTAAACTTGAATAAAGGTATGATAAATGTACAAATGCATGGGTATATATGCATGCATATGTTGATATTATTAGAAGTTTGTTCCTTAACCAAGTAAAGTAAATCACTTTTAATTTTTTTCATGTTTTATTGATACCATGACATATATATAACACTATACATTAAAGGCATATGAAGTGATTTGATACACAGTTATTACCAACTATTATTATCAACACAGGAGAGCCAAAGAAATAGTACAAGGGTTTATGTGCATGTCTTGATCCTGGGAGCCCAGGTGGTTTCCTGAGTACTGCAAGGAGTAACACCTGAGCATTGTTGGATGTGGCCCGAAACCCAAATACAAATGGAAAAACCCAAATACAAATTTGATCCTGTAACTACAGCATGCTGACTATAACAATAGTATATCATAAAACTAATTTAGAAGTTATTCATCTTACAAATTTGTACCTTTATACTCTCATCTCATTTCTCACTTACCAAGTATCAAAATTTTAATTTAGCACATGAATAAGAATACTGTGGTTTATTAGTTTTACTGAAAACATTAGGCAATTAAAGAGTCAATCTGAAACAGATACAAGAGTTGGTGAAATTTACTTATTAGTTGCCAAGTGAATTGCCAAATAAATTTGCATACTTTCCTATTTGGAATTTTAATATTATGTTAATATTATTAACTTAATGCTAATTATGAAATAGTTATGGAAAAATTTTAAAATATTTGCTTTTTTGTGCCATACCTAGTGATGTTCAGGGGTTATTCCTGGCACTACAGTCAGGAATCACTCCTGACAGTGCTCCGGAGTCCAGATGGGCTGCTGGGTATCAAGCCAGTGTGGGCTCCATGCAAGGCGAGTACCCTATATTTTAATCTATTGTACTCATTTAAAAGTGCTAATATTTTCTACAGGCAATGAAAATATTTTGTTCACTTGGTCACACCTGGCAGTGATTACTCCTGGCTCTGTGCTCAGGGATCACTTCTGGAAGGCTAAGGGGACCAAGTAGAGTGTCTGGGATGGAACACAGGTCAGCCATGTGTATGGCAAGTGCTTTCTCTGCTGTACTATGGCCCCACATGTTCTATTAGTTACAGAACTCCCTAATTGGTGGGAATGCATGCTATAAATGGGAATGCAATTTTCACGGATCCAAAAGTAAAGAAAAAAAATCAAAACTAGAGTTTCCTTAATATATTTTGGAAAACACAGAAAATGGAGGGACTTGCTTTCTGAGAATTCTGTCAAAGACTGCACAATGGTAGAGTGATCTTCCATCCTACAATGGTCACAGAACTCTTAAGATTCTTCCCTTGCCTGCCCTTCTCTTGGTACAGTCTGGACCCACTACTACCACAGCCCCCTTTTTGAATGAAACTTTATCTTACACTCACCTCATTCAGACATCTGCAGTTTCGAAACTAAGCTGCTGGGCAACTCTTCACTAGACTGAGAATCAGAGGAGCAAAGAACAATACTTTTTTTACTCTTGTTCTCAACAGAGCAATCTCTTCACTCACAACAGAACTTTAGCTGAGTTGAGCTGCTAGCAACAGACATCTAAAGTAACAGCTTAAATAAAGTATTATTTTCTTTATTGTAAAAGAAATCCTGAATTAAACAGGTGACTACTGTGAACACTAGGACTTTCTTTTGTTTTACCTTTCTTACTCCACACCAACACCCTTAAGGATATCTTTGGTCCAAGATAACTGAAGCCACTTGACACACACCCTGGGTAGGAAACAAGAGAAGGGGGGAAAAGACCATAAAATTCCTGCCTATGGTCTACCTTTTAAATCATTTTTTCCCTGCCACCATTTGTCTTTTGCCTTCAAGGCAACTAACCATTGAATAAGTGCTATAAGAAATGTCACATTTGTTTGGCTTTAAATATTTGCTTGTATTCTCTTATATATGGATTTAAATGGCCCCAAAATGAAATGCAACATTCACACTCTTCTCTCTTATTGTGGTGGGTAGGTGCTCGGTGGTGGGATTGTTTTGACTATTACCTGTAATGAACTATTGTGATCTACTTCATGAAAATAAAATATATAAAAATTGTAAAGAAATGCATGGAAACCAAACCATCAGGCCAGGACCTATCCTGTTCAGCCCAAGATCCACCTCCTGTTTTTCAAGAAATAGAAAATTTTGCACCCCCTCCTTCTATTCATATAGCCTCTACAAGAAAGATATAGGGGAGTAATTCTCAGGATTCATTGGTGACGAGGCCGCAAGCTGGAAGATGGTGGACACTTGTCATTAAGGAACCTTTTTTGAAGAAAAGGTTTATTATTCCATTTTAAAAACTTAGGGGTCAGGGGTGACCTTGGGTCAAATCTCTGGCACCACATGCCTCCCTCACCCCAATCTCTTCCTGGTAGTCCCTTTCCCCAACCCGACACGCCCACAACAAATTTATGTCAAAAAACGGATTGTCCACCCTCCCCCCACACCCAGTAACAGAAAGAAGTATTTTTTTCTCAGGAGGCTTTCAGGGATTTTACAAAGTGATTCCCTTACTACTGCTTAAAATACTAGCAGGATGGTGCTACATTTATGGATACCAGATAAAATTGTTTATAAATCTTCTAACATTTATCATTTTTTTCTTTTGGGGTTTTGGGCCACATCCAGCAGTGCTCAGGGAACATTCCAGGGGACAGGGTTGGGGGGCCATCTGGGATATTTGGGACTGAATCCAGTTCAGCAATGTGCAAAGCAAGTGCCTTACCGGCTGTACTATAATTCCAATCTCTCAAATTTAAATTTGAGGATTTACTATAAATGTTAACCACTTATATCTAAACTAGGTATAAATCTGATGTCCTTTCTCAAGTGCAAATCTGAAATGGCTTGGAAACAGCTGAATTAAAAAGACAAAAACTAGGGCTGCAGTGATAGCACAGTGGGTAGGGCATTTGCCTTGCATAAGTCCAACCTGGGTTCAATCCCTGGCATCCTATATGGTCCCCTGAATACCGCCAGAAGTAATTCCTGAGTGCAGAGCCAGGAGTAATCCCCGAGCAACACCAGATGGACCCAAAAAGCAAAAAATAAAAATAAAAAGACATAAACTGCATGTGACAAATGCCAATTTTTTTTTTAAGGCTTTTGGGTCATACCTGGGGAAGCTTGGGTGTTATTCCTAGCATTGTTAGCAAATGCCCTACCCGCTATATTATCACTCTAGCCACCCCCCCACCCCATGCTTTAACAACTACAAATGATGAAATGATTTTAGTGTTATGAATGATTTTTAGCAAACTTAAAAGTACCTGAATACTAAAATTTTTTTCTTTATGCACACCGATGTTCACTGTAGCATTTAGGTTAATGGCCAGGTTATCTAAAATACTTGATGACAAATAAATGACAAGAAATTGTGAGATTACACACACACACACACACACACACACGCAGAGGATTACACAAATGTAATAAAGGTGAAACCCTGCAGTTTGTTATAATATAGTAACTACACAGACTATGCCTGAGTATGTATCGGGTTAGAACCAAAGCATCTCTCTGAGGGATAGGAGCCCGAGAGACAGGCTAGAGACAGTGCAGTGAGTAGCACCCGCCTCGCACTGCTGACCTGAGCTTGATCCGCACCACATATGGTCTGCACGGTCCCAGAGGTGACCCCCGAGTGCAGAGGCTGGGCCAAGCCCTGCAAACAACAGAATGTCGCCCCCCCCCAATCAAGAAAACAAAAGAGGAATAGCAGAAGTGTTCAACTGGTGGGGAACATTGAACCTCGAGTTCCTAATAGATAGGTTGGGTTTTTTTTCCTTTTTTATCTTCTTTTAATTTCAAACAAATCGTTTGGAGGTATGAGCAGCTCTGTTCTGCGTGTTCATGACTCGAGGGGTCCACTGGCCCAGCCTGGCACAGCCCCGAGGAGGCGGGAGGGGCGGGGGGTGTCCCACGCCTACCTCCATGCAAGAGACGGCTTGGCCCTACTTCCAGGGCAGGCTGCAAAGAAGTGGAAAAACCAGCTCGGAGGGGTGCTGGCCTGTGAAGGACACGACTTCTAACGCACGCCAAGACTGTTCAAAACTGGGTCCTGGGAGCAGCCCGGTTCGGGACTCAGCAGGGTCCTCGGCCAGCTCCTCCCTCGGCCGCGCTGCAGGTGCCGACCAGCTCTCCTCAGCAAAGAGCCACCTGACAGGGACAGACCTTCTGCAGCTTCGAGTCATTTCAAGAAAAAAAAAAAAAAAGGCCAGTATCGACTGTGCCGCCACGGGCCTCCAGGCCCGTCAAGCGGCATCGGAGAAACCACCTCAACTCTCAGTCCCGGCCTGCACCCGCCGCGCTACGGGAGGCTCGAGGCGTTCTGATGCCGCGCACACGCCACAGGCGCTCCTCAGAGCAGCCTGGAAACTTCCCGAAGGGCACGCGGGCTCACGAGGGCAGCGCTGCTCCGCCCGTGCCGCGGACACCCGGGTCTGGGCCGCCGCGCCTGTGATCACGTCTGCAAGGCCCACGGCCCGCCCGCCGGCCCCGACACCCTCGCCGTACACCGGGCGGACGTACGTGCGAACGGACGCGGGGCTGCGTGCGCTGCGCCGCCGACCGGCCGGCCACCTCCGCCCGCGAGGCCCCGTCCCGGCGTGCACCGCGCGCGGCCCACCGCGCCGCCGACCGGCCGCCCCGCCCGCGAGGCCCCCTCCCGGCGTGCACCGCGCGCGACCGGCCGCCGCTCCCCCCCCCCCCCCGCCTCCCGCGAGGCCCCGTCCCGGCGTGCACCGCGCGCGGCCCACAGCGGGGCGACCGCGGGAAATTCCAAAGCGGCGGAGACAAAGCCGAAGCCCGTCAGGCCAGAGTCTGTGGCCACGGAGCGCACGCTGCCGTCTTCTTTCCGCCTCTGCCCAACTGCTGCAGCAGCGCTGTCGCGGGCCTTCCGGTAAGCGGGAAGCCGCCAGAGCAGAGCGAAGCGACAGCTTCCCGGGGACGACACGTCGGGCGGGGCGGGGGCGAGGGGCAGAGAGGGTGCAGGAAAGACTCGCGAGAACGGAAGGCGGGAGCCGCGCGAGGGGGCGCCGCTCTGTGTGGGGCGGCGCGAGAGGGCGTGGCCTCGCGGCGAGGGGGCGTGGCCGGGACGCCGAAGTGTACTCTAGCGGCGAGGGGCGTGGCCCCGGCGAGGGGCGTGGCCGGGACGAGGGGCGTGGCCGGGACGCTGAAGTGTGCTCTAGCGGCGAGGGGCGTGGCCCGGACGAGGGGCGTGGCCGGGACGCTGACGTGTGCTCTAGCGACGAGGGGCGTGGCCCGGGCGAGGGGCGTGGCCGGGACGCTAAAGTGTGCTCTAGCGGCGAGGGGCGTGGCCCGGGCGAGGGGCGTGGCCGGGACGCTGAAGTGCGCGCTAGCGGCGAGGGGCGTGGCCTTCCGGAGCCGGGGCCGGCGTCTCCTAGCTGTGGGTGTCTGGGTCTGTTTTTGTCCTTGGGGCGCCGATGTGTCCGTGTTTTTAAAGCGGAGAAGCAACGGTGGATTCTGCGCGTCGGAAGCGGGACCGGAGGAGGGTTCCAGTGAGGGTGGTCTGCTGCTGTTCTTGCTGGACCACGGCCACAGCGCTTTGGAAGCCTCCTTGGGCGGGTGGTGCCGATTGCTCCGCAGTGATACGGGCACGTTCCTACTCACGAGCCCTCAGTGGTAACGCTTGGGGCTTTCAACGTGAGCTTAAGTGCCATGATATCCGTCCGCTTTCCTTGGTTGCTCTGTCTGGTGACAGGCGGTGGGGGCAGCGGTGCTCCCAAGTCCCAAGGGCTTGCAGGCGCTAGCCGCCTTGATGCCTGTGGCCACACCCAGGTGTGACAGAAGAATGAACAGGTGCCCGGGCCGGCTGTGCTTGCACCCTCCTGCGCTCAGGGTTTGCACGCTTGTGCTCTCTGATCTCAGTGCTCTCCCTCCCTGGCTTGTACTCACAGTCTATCGCAAATGCCAGCTCTGTTGTGGGGTGCGGGAGTCCCAGGAGGGAGAGTTGCTCTGTGTGTGTGTGTGTCTGTGTGGTTTGTAGGTGTGTGTGGTCTGAGGGGGTTTCCAGGTATGTGTGTGCGTGCCTTGAGTTTACGGTGTGCGTGTTTATCTGTCTAAGGGGTTTCTCGTGTGTGTTTTGTGTGTGTGTGCGCGAGCGCGTGCGTGCGGCTGAGGTGTTTCCAGGAGTGTGAGTGTGTAATCCAATGTGAAACTGTTGGAAAGCTTCTGTATTCTAACATTCTAATGTGTGTCCCATTTAGTACACCTTAAGAGTAGTATGATGGATTTGTGAAACGAGCAGAGCACCAAATATTTAGTATTTATGAATATTACTTTCAGAGATCATGTAGCTCAGAGCGTTTTCTCATTTTACCTTAGCTCTGAGAGTAGGGCAAAGGAAAGTCTACAAATGGTAGACTGTGTTGAGGCAATTTATTTCTTAGGCTTAGATAGAAATCATGCTCTTGTGACTTTATTCATTAAACTTAAAATGATGTTTTAGTCTTATGTGCTATACCATGGCACTCACACATAACATATACAAAAACAGGAAAGATTGCATGAAAAAAATTTGCTTTTATTTTATATCAAGGTTTATTGTTGCATGGTGCTGTGAGGATTGGTTCATGTGTTCAATCCACTGGGACTGGAACTCGTGAAATCACTTGTGAGGATGTTATTTAATAAATAACATTTATTAAAAATAGGTTCATTTGTTTTTGTATGTCAAAGACGTCTTTCCCTATGGTAAAAGTTTAGATCCTGGGTGTTTGTTTGTTTTTTTTGTTTTTTAGAATTTGGGCTAATACTTCAGTATGTATTTTTTAAAAATTTTCTTTCATTCTTTTTTAATAAAGGATAGGTAAACTTTATATTCCAAAATTTTGAACTTGGTTGTTTTGGCTAGAAGTGAAAGATGTGTTGCTGCATCTATGTGAAATGAATAAACATTTTGACTTATTTTTTTAAATCTTCTTTTGGGGGGTAAGATGCTGTAGGATAACAGTGGTTTGTCTTTTCTCCCTTGCTGCAGGGAGCTTAGGTTATTGGGTTATACCTGTCAACAGTGCTCTTGAGGCACACCCATTCCTCTGTGTTTATCTTTAAGCTCTTCTCTGTGCTCTGATTCCCCAACCAGTTAATCACCTTTATCCCCAAATCAGACCCTATAATTTATAAGGTCAGATTCTTCTAAGGACTCAGAATTCTGTACTTGTAAGTGAAATATTGCTTTTCTTCTTCCCTTATGTCCTTCGCATAGTTTACTTCAGAGCAATGCCCTTTTTGTATAGACACGGGAAGACAGTTAATGCTATGCTTTTGTAACTTGGAAGTTAATTGACTCAGAATAATAGTCACTCCCAGATTTCTGTCATATTTACTCAACTTAAGCCTCAGTTGCCCTTACTTCCTAGTACCCCAAAAGAGTGTTTCGACAAAGGGACTGAGTGGACCCAGGGCAAGCGGTGAGCTACCCTGGCATTGAAATGGGCCAGGATAAGTGTCATAATACTTAACTATAAGAGCATGGTCATGGACAAATTCTGTCATGATCCAGAGAGAAACAACTGGACGAGGACCCTGCTGGATTAGGAAGGACTATCTGGCCTGAGCACTGTAGTCTGGGATCCCAGATGTTTCCAGGAGAGTCATCCTGTAAGCTTAATGTTTCCCTTACTGTGTCCATATAAAATGACTAGAAAGATTATTAAAAAGTAAACTTAAGGTGACTGTTTAAATGGTTATGGAAAGGAGAAGTATATCCTTAGATGACATTCCACCTTGAGTGATCTCCCAGGAAGGATCTTTGTCTTAGAAGAATTCCCCCAACCCCCACCAGGAAGGGCTTTACTATGTTTATTTTATAGTCTCTGGGTCTTGGCTGTTGATGGGGTTACCCGGCAGTTGGTGGGTGTAACTCTAGCTACTGAAAGATAGGGGATCTAGGTGGAGGAGGCCCAGTCCTGATCTGAGGAGGCTTGGAGATTTCAGCCCCAGGTCCCACACACCTGGGTTGTTTTGCCGGTTCCTTTATGTGTAAGGCTTGTCTTAGCATGTGGAGAGTGGTTTCAGCATGGCTGCGGCTGGGTCCTGTAGGTCTTCAGCTGCTGGGCTCTGCTCAATAATATTTGTCAATAATACCTCAATTTCACATTGCTTTATTTCACTTTGGTTTCTGGGATACACCTAGTAGTGCACAGGGCTTACTCTTGGATCTGTGCTCAGGGATCATTCCTGGCAGTGCTGGAGGTAAAACCAGGGTCTGCCACATGCAAGGCAAATCCCTACTGTCTGTGCAATCTATCTCTCTGTCCATGTAATTTAATATTTTTAAATAATTAATGAAATCATCCTGTCAACACAGAAATCATGAAACAGTTTGCTGTTTCTGATCAAGTAAAAGTTAACCTCCCAAAGACCTGCCCTATGGTCACCATTTTGTCTCAAGAAAAGAAAGAAAATCCTAGAAAAACTCAAATTCTTTTTAAGTGAAACAAATCAGACTTAAATTCTTTTCAAATTAAAAAGATTCAGTACAGAGTTAAGGTAAAGGCCCTCCCGTTGATCGTCGATTTGCTCGAGCGGGCCCAGTAACGTCTCCATTGGAGACTTTGTTGTTACTGTGTCTGGCATATCGAATACTCTCGGTAGCTTGCCGGGCTCTCCGAGAGGGGCGGAGGAATCGAACTCGGGTCGGCCATGTTGGCCGCTTGTAAGGCGAACGCCCTACCCGTTCGCCTTACAAGCGACGTTACTGGGCCCGCTCGAGCAAATCCACGATCAACGGGGAGGGCCTTTACCTTTACCTTTACCTTTACCAGTACAGAGTTAGGCATCATGATCAGTGCAACACACACTTATAGAAGGAAACAAAGATACCAGGAACTTTCATATAATGAAACAAATTGCTAGCTTGTAATATCTCATGAGGCCAGAGTACACATTTTTTCTCTATAAAACCCTGTCTTTGATCAGGAGCACAAAACAAAAACAAAGAATGTCACTACTTTAACAACCATAACACCTATTTAAGTATATAACAGTACTTCATGTAAAGTATATTTATGTTTGTTATTGCTAGCAGAAGCTGGACAATTTCTTTTAAAAGCACTAATTTTTAAAAACATTTATCTGCAAGTGTTTCACTAGCTTTGCTAAACTTGTTTGTGTAATGACTAGGAAATTTAATAGTGTTGGCCAAAATCAGAAAGATTGTCTTTTGAATAACCAATGTTGTAAAAAATAATGCAATTAAATAAAATGTAATATTACTCTACACTAATTGTCATTTGTTGAGGTGGTTTCTCTAATGCCGCTTGACGGGCATGTAGGCCTGTGGCGGCACAGTCGATACTGGCCTTTTTTCTTGAAATGACTATAAAACCAAGCTCCCGGAAGCACGCGACTGCATTCGTGGCCACGTGACCTCTTATTGTCGAGTTCTCACTCTCAGATACCTGGCAAGCTACCGAGAGTATCTTGCCCACATATATGCTTGACTGGGAACACTTGTAAAGGTGATTGGAGGCTGCCCCAAAAGTCTCCATCCCTCTCTGAGAGCCTGGCAAGCTACTGAGAGTATCCCACTTGCACGGCAATGCCTGGCAAGCTACCCGTGGCGTACTCGATATGCCAAAAGCAGTAACAGTGATGGTCCTCATTCCCCTGACCCTGAAAGAGCCCCCAATATGTCATTGGGCTACACTAGCACTTGACAGGGACGAATGGAGACGTTACTGGAGCCTGCTCGAGCAAATCGATGAACAATGGGGTGATAGTGATAGTGATAGACAAGTAATGAGTTGTAACTTGTCTAACCACCAAGTTTGCCTGTTTCATTTTTACATACTCTTGAAACTGTGGCCACAGTTAATCAACACATATATTACCCCCTTCCCCCTCACACCCAGTTTCTTTAGTGCTCCTTTTTCA